TGGTTAAAATTGATATTTAAAGTTAATTTGGCCTAAGGTTAAAAGTTTTAAATCGAAACAACTGCCACGGTAAACTAACAAACATTAGTTTCTTGTCGCTTGGCCAACGAGGAAACGTACTACTATACAGTACGGGAATTGAATAACGCGTGTTTTGTTGTTGTTGTTGTTGCTAGTTTCGTTGAGCCTTTTTATTTTTTAGTCAGTGTTTCAAATGAACGGTTGTTGAAGGGCGTGCTGAATTTCATGTAGAGTGATGGAGAGGTCGACGCCTCTGAGAAAAACAGTATATAGGTGAGATTTCGTTTGGGGATGGAACAGGTCACTTGGGCAAGATAATTCTAGGGCTGCATAAAACTGTGAGGTCAGCGTGGTTGGAGAAAAATTCCACCTCGTCGTAGGATTCTTGTTTTCACAGGGTCGATTGAAACTCCGGGTTTATAGTGGTTGATAAATACGCTAATTTGTCTCGGAGTAGTCCTTTAAGGATGACAGGTACACTGACGACGTCGCAGGGGCTACGAAAAGCCTAGAGCAGGACGTAGCTTAGTACCAGCTTCAGTTATTCAAGACAAAGCTTTACGCAGTACACTGGATATGCCCCCGTCCGGCTCAAACACACATTTTATAAAAATCAGCACATAAACCAACAGCAGACCTCATCTTGAACCACGGATCCAGACGATAGCCAACATTCTCATTAATAGTCTCTTCAAACACTCCACAAGTCCCCACCCGTCTAACTGAAGTGCCATCTCGCACCATGTTACCCATAATCGACCAATCCTACCATGATTCTCCCACCACTGATCAAGTCACTTCCCGGATGACAAAGAAGCATCTACATCAACAGACTTCATCAGTTTCACCACTCAGGCCAAGCCAATTTCAAGAAGAAAATCAACTCAAGCCCAACCATCACCTCATCCACCCTAAAGCTTTCCATCCGCCGATTGCTTGCTTCAACGACTCCAAGCCCACGCCTCCAGACCCAGAATACCCTTTTCACCTGACGACTTCGACCTACTCGACCCAACCCACCCTGTACACAGCTAAGACTAAGATTATGACCGTGAATTTCCGAATTTAAAATCCCCCTAAACATAGCTAGTTCCTGAAAGACTAACCTTCTTCTCTCCAACCACGCACTTCCTTATACCCCTTGTATTAGTCGGGGACGGACTGGGCTTTCTTTTTCGGGGCCCGGATCGTTCAAGTGGACTTTCTCTGGGCACTCCCGTTCCTCCCCCCCCCCTCACACACACACAGCAAATTTATCTGGCATTGGATTTATAGATCCCCGCCGGCCTGAGGGACTCTCTGTCGCACAGGGGCCCTTTGAATTCGTCAAGTTTCGATCTCCCCCCTTTTTTTTGTCTTTGTCTCAGCTCTTCATGACTCCCGCGACTGTTTGTTCAGATACTCTCAAATATTGCATATCAACATAACATTTCCTATCAAACTCAACCCACTGGAATCCATACACAGCCCACACCACCTCCACGCGTGAGTCGAAGAAAAGCACAAGCTTCTGAGCACCCCTAGTAATTCCCCCGACGTTTCATCTCGGTGTATTTTTGTATCAAAAGTCCTGCCACGAATTTTGTTTGTTTTTGGTTAGTTGGTTTCGTAGCATTGTCGTGGATCTCCAAGTCTGTTATTAAATTAATTCATATTATAGGTGGTTGTGGAGATAACCGCCATGTTAGGGGTAATAACATTGACTTCGTAACGTTCTCTGGGTATGCATGAATCTTAACGAATTAATCCACATTACAAGTGGGTATGAAGATAACCGCCGGTCACGTCCCATTATTCAGTCAAACAAAAGTAGCCCCAAAGTTTGTGGTAAATGCTTTTGGGTAACAGTAAAAATATCATCAAAGTACAACAGACACGATCATGCATTACTGGCTTTTCTTTTCGAGCTAACTCAAAATCTGAAGTTCTTTGTTTTTTGATAAAATAATCCATGTTTCTTGGACTTTCGAATCGCGATATTATTATCAATAAAATGTTAGTCCTAGCCAGTGGCTCTAGAATTATGAGCTAGGAAGGCGAGGGTGTGCGTCAGGAGGGTGCAAGGTGCGTGTCAATTATTTTTTTGAAGATCTGAACAAAGAAATGTTTGAAAAGTAACCAAAACAAAAGGGCAAAATACAGTGAATAACTTTTGTTTATCTTGCCTACGGCATCTCTTAGCAACAGTGAAACGTCAAACGTATGCTGCGTGGTTTTTACCGCGAAATCTCACAAATCATAAATTACGAGGAAATACAGTTATTCTCTGCATTGTTTTTCTTAGCTTAGGGAGATAAAGTTTGAAAATCAGTGGTATGAGCCCTTTTTGGAGTAAAAACTTAGATTTAGAATTTCCATTTAACAGACAAACTACTGACATTTTCCACAGGCAGTGCGACTCTTAACGGAAAAGCCGAAGGAAAGCTTGCAGGAGTGACATCGGTCTACTTTATTTTGACAAGCCTTGTATCCGCCCTGATTGGCCTCGTCTTTGTGACCTCAATACATCCGGGAACTTCGGCTATTAGTTCGTCAGTTGAAACCTCTGGTAAAACTATTGGTTCCAATGCTAGACTTCTTGATACATTTTTAGACTTGTTAAGGTGAGATTTTTTTCCATTGTTAATTACAATATTCGCTTAAAAAATAGCATTTAGCATATAAATCTAGTCTCTACTATTATCGACCAGCGTTTTCTTAATTTAGTGTTTCAGTCATGCTGTACAGGTGACGAAGAATTATCACGCATTAGTATTAGTTATACCCATGTTAAGACCACAAACTTAATAAATTTAATTAAAATAATCAGAAATTATAACAATCAACTACATTTTCAGTACACTGTTCACTTCTGCTAATGTCTCTCATTACGTAACTTTAATTCTTTAGCTTTTCATTGCTAAGTCGAAATCAAATTGTTGTTCATTCTAGAAAACAAATGATACTTATAGTATTTTGGCACTTGTGTATAAAGTTAAAATCATAAATAATATTCAACGTTATACTGGTACACAGTTAAAAACATTTTATTTAGGCCTATCTATGGCCTTCAAA